GTCTTCCTTACCATTCTCCACTTCCATTGAGATGATTGCAGGAAGTCTTTTTCTACATATACTCCTTCTTCTTCTTCTTATAATGATTAGCATCAATACACTACAAGGAAACAAGTTTTTTGTGACTGTAAAATCAATCACAAAAACTTATATTTTTAGTCACAAATAGTAATTGTATCTAAAATTTGGTTGGTCACTGTCCGTTACAAATATTGAGTCACTAAAACTAATAGTAACTAATTTTGCATTCGTGACAAACAATCATGATTTTAGTTACGGGAAAAATAGACATAATTACTAATGTATTTGTAATGATTTTATGTGTTACAATTAAGATTAATTGTGACAAAATAATTGGACACAAAAAATACCTTATTTGTAATTTTTATAATTTGTCACAATTGAAATTATTAGTGACACAAAATTTGGTCACTGATATTGAATTATTTGTAATATTTTCTTTTTGTCACAACTAGAACCATATGTGACAGAAACAAAAAGAAACAAATGCATCAATGTTAGTCACACTTAGGATTATTTGTGAGAACAAAACTTGTTACAACTAGTATTATCAATGACGAAACAAAAATGTCACAAATTGAATATGTGACAGAATTTTTAGTTTTAAAAAGGTATATCCCAAAAAAGATAAGAAGGGTATTTTTGAAAATTCAATTAACACTAGTATCCAATAATTTTGTTACTAAAATAACATGTATAAAACAGTCTCTTACAAATTTGGTCACTAGAAATTAAGTATAATAATTGAAAAAAAAGATAAATTTTGAATATTTAAATAATTATCTATTAAATAATTTCAATTAAAATTGCTTTTAATATAATTAAAAATATAAAATTATATCCATAAATTTAAACACATTCAATTTTAAAATTTTTTTAATTCAATTATAAAATAATAATCAAATCTTTGAATGAATAAAAATTTGTTCAAAATAAAAATATTATTCAATAAAATTAATAATAACTAAGTTTTGTTTGATCCAACTAAAATAAATCTAAAAAAATAGAAATAACAAAATAACCCTAAATGGAAATGCAATAAATATCATTTTGATCCTGGTATCGCAAAAGCCACAATCTGTCAAAGTTGTGATTCAAATGGTTTAATCCCACAAACATTTTCAATTCCACTTCATGCGTTCTTGTATTCATAAACTTGATTTTGTAAATCTTCAATCAAATTATGTAACTGATTAATTGTATCATTTTGCATCTTTATAGTCTTGCCCAAATTTGAAACCTTCTGCTCTAAATCATCAGCACATGTTGTCCCTTGCTCTTCACATGATTTTTTAATAGGTCACATCCACTTTTTCTATAAAAAAAAAAAAAGCAGAATCTTAAAATAACAATAAGATATGATTTAAATTTAAAATAAGAATACAGAAAAAAAGTTGATATACCTGTATCAAGTTGTTTTGTTGATGCAACATTTATATTTCTCTATTTTCATATTAAATAATTATAAATAAAATTTAAAAATATTATATTAAAAACTATAAAAAAAAA